TAATCGTTGAAAACGCAGAACAAAAAATGATCAGCGCAAAAATCTCTACAAGATGAAACCAATAAAACGGGATTTGAAAACTTTTCTGTAAATGGTGGGAGGAAGCTGGTGGAAACACCCTTCCATATTTTAGCATGCGTGGCTTTTCATAGCATTACATGCAATTTACATTTAGTCTTTTCGTATCGATACTTTATATGTTGGCAGAAACGAAGATATACTTTACGAAAAACCTCCCTATGGCGTAAATTTCTTCGAAAAAAACGCGTTTTCCCATAGCTGCGAAACGATCATTTCTTGACAGTGTTTTGTACTGTTTCCGAAACTGTAGTATCGTATATTTTGGATGAAAAAAATTGAAAACCATCAAGTACTTCATAGAAGTTGAGTTGTATATACGATCCATATACTTGTTTGCATTGATTCATAGAACTCTAGAACTATAATTTACATTAATTTCGATAAATTTAAGAGATGGATTCGAACACGAAAACAAAATACTAAAAGACATGCACGCAAACCGTTCAACTAAAATAGTCAAATGATATCTCTATTTATTGTCTCGTTATTCTGACTCTCTCATAAACTTGTTATTGAAATAGATTTTCGGAGTCTCATATCGATAAATTAAAAATTATCACTTCCTTGATACTTAAATCCAATTATTGTTGTCATATTCCTCTTGATTTACTTTATTTTTACCTTCTTTGAAATTTAAATTTGAGTACACCCTAGTCAACTCTCCCTCGAAGAATCCCCAAGGAGTCCCCTGACAAATCCCCGGGGACTCACGACACGGACTCGCCAGGGATTTCATTATTTTGCGGGAAGTCGTCGGGGGAGAGCGGATTAGGAACACCCCATTGAAACAAATTTAATCGGATCTAAATTGAATTTAATATTTTAGAAAAATTGAATGCATCAAATATGAATTGAGAAGAATTAAACTTAAAAATATTTGCGTTTTATTTTCTGATTTATTGAATTTTTGTGACTATGAATTCAACATCCTTCAACTCAATGACATTGATAAATGAAAGAAAGTTTCTTCTGTAATCAAAGCCCAGTTACATCAGTATCGGATAATCTATATATGATTCACAATAATTATTATTAAAATCTTAGATTACACGAAAATTCTTTCACACGCCAACAAAACAAAGCAGCTTCATATGTATTATCTTTGTATTAGTCGTCACTGAATATCCTCTAACTGCTCAATATTGAAAGCAGCTCTTCATTGAATGCTACGAAATGCATTTTTGTTTCGGTGAAAGCCCAGCGAAATGATTTTTCTAAAGGGAAGCAAGTACTCTTGTTATACTCTGGTGCTCAGCAATAGTCTAAGTTCGAATTTGCTTCATAGAACGGCTTAAAATCATTAGGTTTAGAAGACTGCGATTCTGATCTTGCATACAGAAGATTTGCATCACGCTGTACGTGTTTTAAAACCATTCGACTAGCAAACCTTCTATAAATCATTTCATATCGTTTCCAAAATAATGGAAAGGAATTAATTTTTGTTTAACTCACATGCATTGCATATGGAAATTGCTGTAACAGGATGGATGCATTTTCTTTAAATTGTGACTCTAAAACGCGTTGTCTGCATGCTGAAGTGCGTTTCACAGCGTTTCAATTCAAAAACGGTTCGAAACGCAATGTAGAAAAGAAACTTTTCGGATTGCTTCGAAAAGTTAACGTAGCGAAACGCATTCTATCTCAAAAAAATGCTGCGAAAGGCATTTTGTCTTGAAGAAACGCGTTACGTGGCCCGTTTCCTTCAATTTTTTACGCCATGGGCTCTGGAAGTAGTTCATTGTACTCTTGAATCACTCTATTTATCCTAATATTCTCCCTGAAAACGATACTGGAGGTCCACAATCGCCTTGATAAACCTTATCATAAACCCTTGGGGCGGTTGATGAGGTTCATAATCGGTTTCATATACCCTCTCACAAACGCTGGCGACCATTCATGATGCTCATCAACGCTTTTCAATAGCGTTTCTAAGAGGGGCTCATGGGTATAGTATTTTAATCAACCCTTGTTAGACTGAGTTTCGAAGGTTAATTATATGAGAACGTTTATGTGAATTATCAACCCTTTCACGGGTTTATGAAAGTGCAACATGTCGCAATCCCTTCAAGGATTTATGAATCTGATCAACCCTTCAATAAACCTTCCAGAAAGAATATTTAACGATAATAAACTCTGCATTAAACCCTTTTTAGAGGGCTTATAACAGGGTTTATGACTCGTTGATAAACGGTTGAAAAGGGTTTGCTACATTTTGCACTTTCATAAACCCTTTTTTCGTTTATTATTCTACGTTTTTTTTACCGTGCACGCCCACACCCACACCCTCAAAAAATCAAACGGACAGCTATAGCAGAAAAAAATTTAGCGTGAAAATTAAAGTTTATGTACAAAAGGTCAAATCTCTTTTTCTCTACGCTTGTTGCATTGGTAATAGTTTTCGCATACCAGAGAGAAATACTCTGGCCTGCTGTTACCAATTTGCGAGACATTATCTTTTAGGGTGACGTCGAAGAATTGACTGGTTAGCATTATGTATATAGCTGATTCTGTTCGCCTTCTTTCTTCTGTTATATTGTTAACAGAGTTTATGTATTCGTCATCATTGCATTCATTCCGACGGGCATCCAATAATTCCATACGCTGGTCAAATACAGCTAATTGATGATCAATGAAATCCTTGTTTTTTGGGTATAAAAAAATTCGCCAGAATGGCTTTTCTTGAATATAATCGATCAAAATCTTAGGTTTATTTTTTTCTTTCTCATCTTCAATAGATTTCACTGCTTCTTGAATACTTTGTTCAGTTGCTTTCGAGACACTTGGATAAAACATTACAATCTGTTGTGTATCAACAGGCATGCTGAATGTATTATGTGACGAACTGATAAAATCTAGAACGGTTTCGATAGATTCTTCTTCAGTTGTTTCTTTGTGACCATTTTGAATATGGATGAGATTGAGATATTGAAGAGCTTTTTCTTGTAAACAATGAAAGTGATACATACGCTCAATGCTTGAGTAAATTTCAGCTTTAGACAAAGTACCTTGACTGATTTCTTCTTCTAAATATTTACATTCCATCTCAAACATCGAGAATAAAATACGATCATGACAAGTTGATATACTTTCTTCTGTACATTCGAAATAGCGCTGACGTAACCTTCGATGCTTAATCATTGAATTCAACCAAAACTTTAGACGTTGGGAAAAATAAGGACGTTGTTGTTGCATTCGATCAGTCCAGAGAATACTGGAAACTATAAGAAACCATGTTTTAAAAAATCCAGATCCATTCTCTTTTTCGAATAGAGACCATTTTTGAGCAAATTCTGGCGAAAAAGCTTTAAAACGAGCGGGTACGTAATGTTTTTCTTGCTGCAAATTGAGTTTCAATTTTGGAATCTCCCATAAGCTTTGTGGCAATTGATCACAATCTAATGGATTATCGGATATATCCAAACGTGTCAGATGTTCCAGATTACCTAAATAATCTGGTATCCATTTGAAATAATTTCCCGCGAGATTGAGCACTTCTAGACATCTACACGATGCTAAGACTTTAGGGAATGCCTTCAAGCAATTGTCTGATAAATTAATTAACTTCAGATTCATCATTATCGTCAGTTGAGAAGGAACCTTCGAAAATCAATTACCTGACAAAGAAATAATTTCAAGTTGGGGGATGCGTAATATAGCGTCGGGTAAAGTTTTAAGACCAAGCAAGGAAAGATTAAGATAATCTATATTTCCTGATAGATAGTCTTCGAATCTTTTTATGACTTGTTGTTTTAAGCTTCCGACATCCCAAGAAGCTAGAGCTTCTCGAAAGTTTTGTAGATTGAGTGATTCTGAATTATCGGTATTTAACGTGGATGATGCACTTGTATCAATGACGTCAACTAATCTGTCTAGTGTATTATGGTTTAATGAACGAACCGATACCATTGAGATCGTTCGATTGATTGTAGGCATGATGAAAATTCTAAAATTAAACTATATACTAAAAGAACAGCAATTTGGAGGGATACATTATCTGCAGATGAATAGGAGCTATATCTAAAAAAAAGCACAAAAGCCTCTTAATAGTAAAACTGCGATTTGAACAATCTGATCATTCTATATTTATAAGCTGGCCAATAACGGAAGTGCTCTTTCTCTCGGAACGATTATCATTGCGTAAGTCGTATGATTCAGTAAAAGTGCGTCATCATCATTATTCATGAAAGATTCGAACGCAAAACTCATCTTTCTTTCTTATCTTTAGTTTATTGCCAATCTACACAGTCAATAAACTCTTCTAAACTGAATGTTTGACTTATGACATGCAATAAAGAATTGAAAAAAAACTATAAAAGTGTACACTCGGTGAACATATGACAAATTTATTTGAGTATTGAGGCTATTCGATAGAAAGAATGAAGTAAGAGGTATTGTATCTTAAAGACTTTTTTCATTATATTTTTCAAATTCTATTACATAGCTTCAGCTGGATACTTAACGCACTAAGATATCAATGAGGGCTTCATTTTTTTAGTATATGTTGATATTCAATGATATCTACACTTACACGTGTAGTCAAATTTAATATAGAACTGTGATTATTTAATTCTTTACGAACTAGAACAATTCGATTAATAGTCTTTGCTGTTATAAATTAAATGATCATTCACTTCTGAGTCTGATCTATTCAGTTGGTAACGACTTGTCTTGCCTATCCAGCCTCTTCATTTCATAGCAGATCAATGCCAAATTCCACTTTGATGTGTTTTCTAGAACGCCAGTGAGTTTCTTCTTGACAAATCTTCCCAGAGAAGCGTCAATCCACACTAACGCTCTCTGGTTGTGATATTAGCTAGTGAGGTCTCTACTAACCAATAAGATTCGTTTCATTCACCATTGTTGTTGTTTCTTCTTTCTTTCTCACCAAAAATTCGAGTATTCGATATATATGTACCTGACGATTTATTTCTAATATAGTAGCAGTATGCATAGCTAAAAAACAAAACCAGCGAATTTTAAAACAACGAAAAACAATGATCTCTGCCCGTAGAAAATGTAGTATTCGAACTTTGATTTCTATTAATATGATGGTTCGGGTGAACTGACCTTTTACTTCCCATAGTGCCACCTAAGGGTGTGGGTGTTCTTTTGTAATCGACACCCACATCATCAAGATAGGACATTCTAACCTGTTTTCCAGAAACAATGGAGGTACCGTTATTATCATAGTTTTTCTGAATAATCAATTTAAAACAATGAAAACTAGAATGGATGGGAAAAGGAAGAAAGGAAAAATATCGAAAATAAAAATGTCGAAAACAAGAATATGAGATGAACATGAGCATGTAAGATTGAATTAAGGGCGAGGGAGACTTGTACTTCAATATACTCTCGTTTTCAGCATTTCTATCCATCTGCATTTGTATTAATTTTGTTTTCGATATTTTCCCTTTCTTCCTTTCTCCATCATACCTTCGTCTTTCGCAATCAAATCATGACTCATATCTTTCCCATAAAGCATGTTCTCCCGTTTCTTCCTGATAAGTGTTGTACGCCTTATTTTGCTCACATTATTTTTTTCTCTTTTATTCAAACACGTAAGTCGAAGCAGTGAGAAGTAACTCAGCACAATGACATCATCTGTTCAGTTGGATATACCACCTCGCAGACAGTGGGCCCATGGCCGTGAGTTCTCGGTTTTAGATGACCTCACCATTCCCTGTCGCTTATGTTTCTTTAGATGGATACTGTGGTGAGACTGTTGTGCAATCTTTCGGTAAGTTCTCGAAGTATTTTTACTGCATTCACACGTTCTCGATCGACCAGGTCTTTACAATGGTGCCTGGATATCACAACAACTCGTTCGAGATGTGAACCATGGTGAATACTTAATTCATCATTTGACTCCCGAAGACGACCAACAACGACGGCCACGAGGAGGAGGAGGTGGAGGCGATCCACTAGTCACACTCACGACATTAAAATTTTGCTACGACGCATGGGATCATGAGAATACACCTCAACCTCAGTTCCCTTCCTATTGCTTGTGGATTAAACGATGTTTGCTTCAAGGTTTTCCCATCATGTTTCGCACGAAATTTAATGAGTTTTTTGCTGGTCACATCATGCCGATAATAGGCATTGACTATTCGAACGAGAACACCTATGATGAACGGGACAATGTTTACTATTACAGCCTCTTTAATCGGGGAATAATCAAACAACCGCTAAGCGAACTTGGCAATGATCCAGGAGCGCTACCTTTTTGCTGCAACTGGGGCTGTGTACCTCTCAATGTAAGTACACGGTTTGCTTTCAGTATGTGGCGTTTTCCCTCGGATGTCTTAGTTTTCATTGTACAGCCTCGAATTACAATAGTCTCCAACAACTCCTTCTACAAAAACATTGTTAAACCTTCATACTCAACATATTTCTGTATTGGGCTAAGGGCTTGGGATCAAGAGCTCTAAAAAAAACACAATTTTCCAAACGTTGTTGAGTTTTACTGCTAACCTACTCGCCATATGGAAGAATTAAGGGTGTGGGTCGAGTAAAGGACATATAACACACCTACACCCTATTTCCAGATAGCTCTTAAAAGGTTGATAGCCTACTCAGATAGTTCTGCAAAACTTACATTGACTACATGTATTGTAATAAAAAGAGTGTCAAGTTAATGCTTTCCCGTTGACATCAATTAACTGGAATGGCAATCATGCTGAATCATTTGTGTTGATTATTAAAGACAAGGTAAAACCACATGCCTTTGCGGTAAAGAATGCTAATGATAATTCTAATGCAATCCTATTATTTTCATTCCACATCGAGACATTCACAGCTACATCTCATTGCGAGAAAACTTAGACCGTCGAGCTTTCTAACTTTTTTCGTCCTTTTCTGTTTCCACATTTGTTTTTCGACAATCTGGTTTTCTACGTTCTGTATTTCGATGTTTTTTCGTTCGACTCGTTACCACCAAAATTGCTACAGATTTCGGGAAGAATTCGTAAAAAAGCATACAAAAAGTCTCCACTATTTATCCAAAACAGAAGACATAGCAGTGGGTGGTTCCTGAGCGTGATGTTGTAGGAGCAGAGTAGGGGAGATATGTGAAAACAAGCAATCTGTAAGGCTAGCGAATGATGGTGGATTAAATGGTGTGCCGTAGAAAGACCGAAAGGAAAAATGTCGAAAGGGAAAAATATCGAAAGGAAAAATATAGAAAATGACCAAAGGAAAAATGTCGAAAGAAAAATGTCGAAGGAAAAATATCGAAAGAAAAAATATCGAAAGGGAAAAATATCGAAAATTTGCACTAAGATGTTTTTATTCTTGAAATCATAATAGCATCATAGCATAAATCATAGATAAATAAGAGTTATAAAGAAAAATACACATATCCAATATTTACTAGTTGTTGCTGTTGTATTCAGTTTGAAAATATATTTATCTGATACAAGGAAAGGTTTTCCTTTTTACGACTGAATAAATGAAATAACTGGAGTTGGCGGATGATTCTCACCAGATAAAAATGAGCAAGCTGTAGTCATCATGATAAAATTTTAATCGTTGTATACTATTTTACGCCTATTTTAGCTAGTTTTCATAAGATATTACTTATCAATAGTATCAAGGGTTATCATTGTCAAACCAATGGAATAATCAGATCAACAACAATAAACTATTAGAACCTTCATTTAGTAGACGTCGTTTTTTTCTATCTTTTCTGTTTTCGACATTTTTCCTTTTCGATATTTTTCTTTCGACATTTTTCCTTTTCGACATTTTTCTCTTCGACATTTATCCATTCGACATTTTTCCCTTTCGATATTTTTCTTTCGGTGTTTTTCTTTCGGTATTTTTCCTTTCGATATTTTTCCTTTCGGCCTTTCTACGGCCAACCGATTAAATAATTGAAGAATAGACGAAGTGATGATTGGCTTACAATAGATTAGATGATTGATGGGCGAAGGATGGAAATTTTGAAAAGGTTTCTATGGAGCTTTGTAATTTCGGCATATTTTAAAGTCATGTCTTTGAAGTTGAAATCGAGATATGACAATATGAATAAAAAGTGATTCTACATCTTTTTGTTCAGCGGTTTTTCTCATGGGTGATCTCCTAGGCGTATTTTTGGCAAGGTTTTAGTTACAACTTGCAACGAATATATGTGTTTTGGGGAAATATTTGGGAATTCTTGCCGTCATAAAACTTGTTTCTACAAATCCAAGAGTACTTTAATGCAGATTATGAGATACAGACTGTACAGCAAAACGCATTTTCATGAAAACCTAAGAGGTGTCTTAAGACCAAAAATACTTGTGACACCAATTTCTACCGTGGCAGGACATTTGCGCGCACGACTTTTACGCGGAAAATGACTTGCTTGTACTGTTCTATTTCTATTTTTTTGTTATTGGATTAATCAGTGTCGATAAAAATTGATATCAGGATGATGGGATTAATCAGTACCACATGAATAAGTATACCTGATAGATAGTGTAAATGGAATAAGACGAAGTAGACCAAATATAAAGATAAATATAAATATGCATAGAAATTGTTCTGGCAAGTTTTTAAAGTAAAAGCATGTCCCTCATCAAGTCAATTAAAGAAAGCGGTCAACTTCTTCTTGATGATTTTCGTTATTGTCGAGATAAAGTAGTACGGTATTGGGCAAAAAACAAACTTCAATGGTCGTGCTCTTTATGATGAAGTTATGTTTAAAATTTATCAAGATCATATATGTCAAGAACAAGATCCAAATCAAATTGGAGAAGCTTTGTTTAATTAAGAAATTAAGAAAAGAGCAGAACAATTTCATGATCCACCAAGATTAATCATACATGAAACATGGCTCAAATGATCTTCAAATGCTGGTTTTACTTTTTCACATACTGTTACAAATTAAAAATTTATATTATATGATAATAATGCTCATCATCGTCGGTCATCAAATTTTTCGAGTAAAGAACAATTCAATTTTTTGAATGAATGTGAGAGCTGGTATTGTGATGGTGCATTTACTGTAAGTGTTCAAAACATAATCGAGAATGCCAAACAATTCGTTTTTCATTTATAGGCAGCTCCACGACTATTCGAACAGATGTATGCTATCCATGGTTCAATACGCTGGGAAAAGTTAGCATTAGTTTACTCATTTTTACCAAATAAAAAACAGGAAACATACGAAGAATTATTTACAATTGTGAAACAACACATTGAATCTAAACCAAGACATATCACGATTGCTTTTGAAAAAGCGGCTGAAAACCTATATGTTGTTATCTTTCATCAATGTGATGTATTTGGTTGCTTCTTCCATTTTAAATAATGCGAGTGGAGTAATAATTGTGTAAGTTTATTTTAATCATAATAAGTTAAATGTTTTCTTTTTCTTGTGATATGTTTAATATTTTGATTTTCCTTATAGGGGCTACATGTGAAACAAGAATTTTTTGAAAATGATATAAGTCGTCGTACAATGAAAAACTCAGCAGCATTAGCTTTTATTGCAACGCCAAATGTTATTGAAGACTTTGTTCCAATGAAAGAAAATGCGTCAGATATTTTAGATGATAAGATGTTTAAAGACTGAGTCTAAAACTTTACTTAGAAAAAATCATTTCGTACGCAAACACCACACGCGTAAACATCGTAATACCGTTCTTACATCGATTGCCGTTCATCAGGCACATTCCTTTCGGATTAAAAAACGTCATCTTGCAGAGTTTTGTTCGCTGAATCTTTTAACATGCGATCAAAATTGTTTGAGTCGGGTTTGCAGGACTTATTTGAACGCGATACCCCGAAATCCATGATTTATCCGCTTCGAGAACTTTCTTCTTTTCTAACGTTCGAGATTGAGTGCATTTCTTTCGTGCTTCTACTACAACGATTGATCCCGACTTTTTTTTCAGTGTTGTAACGTCAACATCAGAGTTTTAGAAAATGAACAGAGCGAGTGGTAAAAATACCTCCGACACGCTGAACAGCAAAATTTACCAAATTGTTCGAACTTGTAAGGCTCGTTTCTCTGTCAAGGATTTATGAAGATTTTTTAAACTTGCAGGAGTGATAACTCTAACATTTGTCTATTTACTAATGTAAGACGGACCTTGGTAAGGGTGGGGGCTCCCTTACAGAGAGCATAGCAAATATCCAAAGGATAAAAGTTGTTTGATCGGGCAGCGAGATGATACATTTGATGGTTACTTTTACGCTGATTCTAAATATTTAGTTATCGCTTCTGATATAAATGCTTTGTGAAGCCAGAAACTAGGTATCCCATTCGGTGGTTTAAAGAAGCCACTGAATTATTTGCTCATCGAAAACAAGAGATTGTCTAAAGCATTTTAAGAACGAGAAAGTACTCATTTAAGTTACATGACCCCATTGGAGGAGCTTTTTCCGTTGTAAAGAATCTGTAATTTCTCAAGTCGACACAAGTTTTGTATGCTCAAACAGAGTATACCATCACTTCTAAAGTTTGAAACGATCGTGTGCTTAGCATTGTCTGGCATCCGTAAAAATGATTTTTGTTGTAAGTGTAAGGAAGAGCTTTGATCTGACTGAGTGTAATACGCTAGACCAAGATTCATGGTTATTTTCACTTACTCATTTAAAGGTATGCTGGGGAATCGCTATCACCGGAATTCTCGACGAAGACAAGGTTTGCCTTCCTGTACGTCTTACTGTGGCTGAATGGGATGAGCCATGTGCAGCCGATGGTATGAAAGCTCGTGATATGATTGGCAAAGTGACTGTGCAAGCATTGACGGCCAGGACACAATACATTCTTCTCCGTTACTCATCATACATTGATGTGCCTGTCAAGGGCAATGCGGAGGCATTTCTTTCCTCCAATTATGCATCGAGACATGACTTTACTGCCCAAGATTACATATATGTCTACGAAGATCCAATTCCAATTAACTCGAATGGATCAACTTATTATCGGTGTGTGGCCAATCCTCTAGCCACGTGAAGAAGAAAGAACTTGAGTGCTATTTTTACATTATAATTAAGAACGATTTTTTTCAGTTTTGTTTGAAAACAAGGAAGTAAGCTTTATTGCTGCGAAAAGATACTTAGATTGAAACTACAAGGTTTTTTAAATATACTTTCTTGATGGTGTGGGGGTGGATAAATGTAAAGCACACCCACATACTGTAGGGACGTTGTTGTTGTTGATTATCGAGTTACTATCTTTATATATTGACTTCAGTTTTTGACTTTGTTGAAGTCGAAGGATGGCGGTGTGTGTGTGCGGTTGCAAATGTGGCACAGCACATATCCACACCCAGCAACAGTCGCACCCACATCCCAATTAATTGCCAGTCGCTATTGTACTTATATATTGCAATTTTTCATCTATTTCACTTGATTTCAATTGATTATAGAGAAAAGAGGAATCAATTAAGAAAGTTATGATAAAGAGAGATCGGCGAACATAACAAAAGAAATTTTTTGTACTGAAGTAATTACGAAGGATTGTACTAGTACCTTCTGCAATATCTATCTATTCAAAATTACTCATTTTGTCACCACCATTTTCGATGTCTCCAGAATTTGGTCGTCTCTTACTCTTGTTACCACATATGTCAGATGCTTCCAATCTTCATATTCGCTACTAATGTAAATTAGACATAAAATGACTTAATTTGTCTAAAAAAGTATATATTACCTTGCTAGTCACTAAATGTTTCACTCATAGTAATTTTAACGATTGAAAATGGTAAATCTTTGATATCTATACTCCTTTATGGGCATCCACAGCCATACACATTACCACGCCTCTGATGTACACTCTAAAAAAATCGGTACTCTACCGAACCTTAATAGTTCCGCATTTATCCTCCGAACGATTTTAAGTTCCGTGATCTCCTTTCAGAACTATTTTAAGTTCAGCAGATTTCATCAGGTTTCGCAATTGTGCGCTTGAACTCTTTGAAGGTTCCGTAAAGTGGTTTGTGGTTTCGTACGTCATGTACCAGTCCTCTGATAGTTTTGTGAAATAGCAGAATGTTTCGTATTATTTGTGCGGAACTTTTTCACACTTTCTAGTGTGCTTTAAGGTTTTGCAAAATACCGACCAAACCAGCGTTCGCTTCGTATACTATCTCAAGGTTTCACAGTTTTGCAATAAACTTTTCACCGGTTTATTATCTATGTCAAACTTTCTATAGCTTATCGGGGTCCCAGAACCCAAATCCGTTATCAGCTTTTCTATCTGAGCTTTCATGCCTGAGAAAATCTGCCCATCAGGCGTCCAAATTTCACATGGTAGACCTTTTATTTCAACTCTGCTGTCAATTCTGCGGTAAGTTTGATGTGATGAAAGTGAATAATTTTTTTCTTTGTTATTGATTCATCAATATAGAAGGTCTCAGGTAAATTTGATGTCATAAAATGACAGAAATTTGTTTTGTTTAATTAATGAAGGCTGCAAAGATGCAATTTCAGGTCAGTTTGATCGTGTATAATTTAATATATTTGATTTGTTTTTTGTTCTAGGTTGATGCTTTTACGCAGTTTTAGGTAAGTTCGCTCTTAGCAAATCAAATAATTATTCGCTTTTTTTAATTCTAGGCTAATATAGAGATGGCGTTTTAGGTAAGTCTGATTTTACGTAATAATAAATTTTCGCTAACTTGTTTATTATAGATTGTTCCAAGTATAAGAATAGTGACGTAAGTTTGATCTTATAAAATGATTATATTTATTTGTTTCTGTATTTTAGGTTATTTCAATTATGGAAATCACAGATGGAGTTGGCTTTAACCGTCTGGTGCCGTCCGCGTGTATGCATACTATTCTAGCGTTTCTGAAAACCCAAGTATGGCATAAATCAGATAAATCATAAGTAGAATGAAATAGTCTATAGAATGATTTTCCTTGAGTGCAGAAAATTACTCTATAGACTATTTCATCTTACTCTTGGTTCATTTGATGTATACCATACTCGGGCTTTGAGAAATACTCGAATAGTGTGCATACTGCGGGCGGCAGCACAGGGTTAACTGAAATTTTTGAGTGCAGAGACAATTTGAAAGAATGTTTAGTGCATATAGTTTTGTACGAAACCTTTTTTGAATTATCGTGAAGGGGGTTGGTACGAAACGTCACTTTTTACAAAACCAAAAAAGGATTTGACCGTGTGCCGAGGATAAGATCCTTTTTAGGTTCTGTAAAAGAACTTTATTTTTTAGAGTGTAAGTTGCACAACTACGAATAAAATTCATTGAAATCACGTACGTAATCAACAAATATAAAATCAGAATCAGAAAAATCTCGCTAGTGGCAACTGAGAGCATTCGTAATTGTAATTTGATTTTCTGGAAAAATAGATTAAAGAAAAGTTTTGAAAATTCTGGATCACTAATGAATTTGGTCTTATTTTTCCGTGTACTATTGTTACACGAACTGTTATCTGATAAGTTGTCATATTTTAATTGGCACTATTTATAACCAGCTACCATTTGAAATCAACTTTAATAAGAATCTAGCACGATAGAATCATCAAGAACGATGATCTTAATCAGCTTTTGAAAATCTTCTATCAGGATCGTTATTTTAAATGTAACTTAGTCAAAAGTAAACCATTGTAGGATCACTTTTCTGTCGGTAAGCTGAGAAATAATTTATCTTAATCTTATTTTATGCTGTTTTTATTTTTATTAAATCACTAATCCTGTCATTATTTGCCAATCACTCTTATGCTCAGTAAGGACTTGATCATTGGATATCCTTGTGCTATATCGTCATTGACATTCAATAGGCCTTTGTAAATCCACAAACATCTCATTCGTTTTCTTTTCTTCAAGTTGTTAAAGATGCTCGTCTTTGAATCGCTTCTGCATACGTCATCAAGAATCAAACACTTGTCTCAATTTCATTCATCATTGGCAGCGTGAAATATTAGCCAACAATGTCAATATTGATATTTGCAATCGTATTTATTAATGAAACGAACTCGTATGTCTCTACCAATGAATTTATTTATTTTTCTCGCCTGGTTCTCTTATGGTATGAATCTTGTCATGAGCATGAATATAATAGTTTGATTTACTTGTAGGCGCAATTCATACTCAAGCATTCAATTGTTACGACTGCTGGGGTGTCTTGGCACCAGGTTGCGGCGAACCATTCAAGCCAGACGCTGCTGGTGTCACTGTAAAGCCAGCTACTTTGAATCAAAGTTGTATTGTAAGTTTATCTGATGTGAAAATTTTTATAATGAATCTTGGTTGAATAGGCTTCGAGAGAAACTCATGTAGACGGAAGTGAAGGTATTGCACGAGCGGTGGTTGATCTTACAGAGTGTACTTTTGGTAAGAACCAATGTCAAATTGAACTAAACGGCGATGTCACGAAAACTACGTGCTGTTGTTCATCAGATTTATGTAATGGTCACGTGTTTACTCCAGGAAGTACAACTATAAGTCATTCTGCCGGGTGCTCTATATTTTTGCAAGCAACGCTATTCATTTTTATGTTATTTCTTCATTGTATTATGTCTGAAGTCGTATACGTATCCATTTGAATTGTTGTGACATTTATTTCGAGTAAATAAACTGTGCCATATAATTACAACTGAAAAACATTCAGGATATTAAAGTGATGGGTGCTAGCACATAGAACAAGTTCGTGTGGGTATAGTGTGGAGTTGGATAACGAGTAGAGATGCACCAGTACCAGTATTACTGGTCTATTAGTAGTTTTTATTACGGAAATGTGTTTTTTCCGTTAAATGTTGATCGTCACAATAGAAAAAATTTAAGTATTTGATCACTGTTGAAGAGTGTTTATATTGTATTTGTCAATTTTTGCCGAAAAGAAGAGTTTACGAGCCATAAATGTATAAATAGTTGACTCCAGAGTTATGTGAACCCACCCGTTTCCACCGTATTGTTGGATAAGTGCACTGACAACTATTGATTCGATGCCTGCTTGGTCCGTTCCTTCGGCGATAGCTTCTCGCATAGTATTAATGACAATTTCTTGCATTTGTGGTGGAAAAGTCAAGCTGAAAATGCGGACCTCTAGAAAGAAAAGTTAAATATCGATTTAATAGTTTAAAATTCGATCATTTTTAATACTCATTGGATGGTGGTTTAACACATGGAAATGGTGATTCTAATTCTTTCATTTGAATAATATATAGACCATCTGCTGGATTCAATTGACCAACCACCTCGAAATATGAACCAGGCATCAGCACAAATTCTTTATCTGTATCTCTGAAATACGAATGTGGAACAATTGATTTTCCATTTTGACTTTCAACCGAGAATAAAGTTCTCATGCCTTGTCTGCCAAAAAACGTTTCTCCCTGAAGCACTTCGACACTAGTTGTGTACGAGCGCACAGCCCACCACGCCAAACTGTCTGCGGATGAGATGGCAGTTTGTGAAGAGCCGTCAAAAATAATTTAAGGTAGGTAAACCATGGCTTGAGATTATCACGATATTCATCTCGAAGTATCGAATTCAGAAGTTCATAGAAACTTGGGTCGGAATCAAACTGCATCGTGTACAAATGAATTGCGGCTGATTCTTCATGACTAAGATTATCTGGCGGGGTTTTAGAATTCTCTTTTGCTACCCATACATTTTCTTCGATGCAATCGAACAAATTTGTAATAGGAGCTACAGCTTGCTCGAGTGATACGAGTGGTGCAACTTCATAGCCTTTAATGGGTGAGAGAACACATGCAATGGGTTCTCCGATCAAGTCAGTATATCGAGAAACGGCGAGATTTTCATGAGATGGTTTGGCTTTATCCATGTTAGGAAACTATTAACGTTTAATATTCTTCTATAAATGCGTACTGTTGGTTTACGATTTAAAAGCACCACATGGAGTTATGTGTGTTTATTCACTATTTTTCAACGTATGAATGATAAGTCAGCAATAAGGTGGGACAATTTATCTATCGATACACCCCTATTCCACAAGCTACGTAAAGGACTGAAAAAAAGTAACTTTATAAAAGAACAAAAAGCATTCATCCATAACCAACAGATATATCACCAACCATCGAAATATAGCGAACGAAAAATAAAATAAAACAATATCTCTATTCGTTTTTTTCCTGCTTTCAATCGATCGAGAGAATAACGTTAATGAGAAAATTGATCAAACATTCTTGTGGTTAACTGAATCGATAAAGCGACTACTAGGAATGCATACCAGCGCTATTACATTGATGATGTGGTGAATTTAGTAGTAATCAAAATATAGAAGAAAGAAATAGAATGTTGAATGCAATCTACAGAATAGACTCATTTGAATATTCAATTGAACAAATTATAGGAGCACATGGATTAAAAACACTAAACTTCGAATTATTTTGCTAAAGTTTTAGCAAACAATTTTTGGAATGGATTGCACGATCGACAAACCTAACAAATGAAGCATATATAACAGGATCATATTCAAACATTTTAATCAATTAAAGCAAAAGTGTGAGTCTGCGTTTATGTCCAAGGCATAATTCGTTTTGAATAAGGCACAAAACTACAGAAATATTCTTCATTTATTTACTAATGTTTTTTATTTATCATTTACACTCAGAGACGTCGAACAAAGATTAATTGAAATACCAAGAATTCCTCTACTAATTTTCAAAGCCTGATACATGTTCCACATTAAATAAAGAGACAAAACAAAAATTTCATAAAAGAAAAATTTATTCTCAAACTCTACATAATTATTTTTAATTTCTCATAGACTAAAAGTAACATAAAACAATAAAAAATACATCAACATGATTCGGAAATCAGAGGGTGCCTCTTTTCCATCCTTGAACGGTAGATACACCCAGAACAACAACTACATGCTGATTCCCACCAACATCTACAGTTACCATTATTTTTTTCTTAAATGTGTTAGAAACTGTACGTAATCACTTATTCTTAGTTGATAAAGATAAGGTTCTATAGTATGACAGACACCTGTTGATAAGAAGTAAAAGAAAAAGAAAAAAAGCATATGATAAAAGAGTAGCTTTAATTTCAGAGATGTGCAAGTACGAATACAACTTGCATTGCGATTTTAAATACAAATGAGCATCTAACCTCTTTAACGATTACCTATTCATTTTGAATATCTTTAATAAAACAAAAACGATAGAGATAGAGTGATCACATTTTTGAGAGATCTCAGTTACAATGATGATCTGGAGAAGATTTTGTTTATGTATATGAGAAAATTATAGACTGCTTATTGAACCAAAACGTATACTTTCAAATTATTATTATTTCATAGTTTTCACCTGACCAATGGATTCAAGACAACCGTTAGATAATTGCAAATATTTTTTGCACTGTAAACGTATAGGTTTCCGCTTATGGACAGAGAATGACTTTCAATTAGCTTTAAATCTCTGGGGTGATATTACTGTTACCGAACTCATCGGTGGTCCATTTACCATTGAAAAAATACGAGAACGTCTTTCATATGAAATCGAAAATATGAAAATGTACGATATTCAATATTGGCCGATATTTCTTTTGGAAACTGGAGAACACGTTGGATGTTGTGGTTTTCGCCCATATGGTAAAGAGAAGAATACAATTGAAATTGGTTTCCATATTCTGCGAAAATTTTGGAGGCAAGGATTTGCTTCGGAAGCTGCGGATACCGCAATATCATATGCTTTTTCTAATTTAAATGTGAGTAAAATTTTTGCGGGGCATCATCCAAGCAATGTTGCTTCTTGTCAACTTCTCGCGCAACTTCGATTCCAGTATACTCATCATGAATATTATCTTCCGACTGGTTTACAACATCCATCATACATACTTAAGAAAGAACAATACTATCAAAAAACTATATGATGGCCAAATTCTGGTACAATACTTGGATAATCAAATATAGGAAATATAAATATGTACAATTAGAATGTATATCACTCCTGCTAAAGAAATAAAATAATGCTCATGTCACTAGAATCATTCAGTGATAAAAACAATAGCCCACACTGTAAAAAAAATAAGTGTTTTACCGAACTTTGAAGGTTTGGTACTATTTTACGAAACGATTTTAAGTTCGGTGGCATGAAAATAGTTTCGGAACTTTCATACAGAACCTTTATAAGTTCCAAAAGTTGTAAAGGGTTTTGAAGTTTCACTACGAAACCATCTAGAAGTTTCGTTAAGTGTGAACCGAACTTTTGCTAGTTTCGTATTCGTCATACAAAACCATTGGGAGTTCTGAACAGCATTTAAAAGTTCCGCATAAGTTCNTCCATTTATCAAGAAGAAGTTCCATACGGAACCTTTTTTCTACGAAACCTAAAAAGGATCTGACCGTGTGCCCGCGCTCAGATCCTTTTTTGGTTCGGTGGAAAACCTATTTTTTTTACAGTGCATGCACTCTAAGTAAAAAGCGTTTCCCCAGAAACCGAAATCTATTCTCAAACCCTTTTGGAAACTCACAAACGTATCAGGAAAAGTTTTCGGCTCTAAGCTGAGTTATTGAAGTCACCTTGTAGGTTTTCGAGTCCCCTGAAACGGTTCGATTTTCGAGAATTCGGATAGGAAACCTTTAACAGTTTTCTCAGAAACCATCAAACAATTTTTGGAAACTTAAAGCGTGTCGTCAGGAACCTTTTGGGTTTCTGGGGATCGGAAACGTTGAAAGCGTATGCCAGAATACTAGCTTGGTTTTCGAACATATCTCGGAAACCCATTAAACATAGTGGAAAACCGAACTAGTATTAAAATTCTATCTTTCTCGTTTTCACGTTGCCATTGTATAATTTACATGTTTAGGAGTTAATCGGTAGCTATAACAGAAATCGTATTCAGTGTACGCGAAATTGTTTTCTAAAACTTTTAGAATTCTTGAGATTCAAAACGATTCTTCTTTTCCAAGAGAATCTTATCTTATTTTTACATTCCTAGTTGTATACAGTTGTGCCACAGTGAGTTCTACTGTAACGTATATCTCGATTGTATTTATTCTCTTTTCTTTTGTTTTTTCCTTTCTCTCTCCGTTTCTCTATGTTCTTGTCTCTGTTTTCGTGTGCGTATATAAACATGTGTTTTCTAAAAGAAGAAACAGAGAGATAATAAAATACACACGTTTAAAGTGTTCGTCACTCTTCGTGAGCGAGAGCGCTAACATTTGGCGACGCTGGTGAAACAAGAACATTTTCATTAACCAATAAGAAATTTATTAGAATTCATGGAAATTCTTTTATAATTTATGTTATACAGAGCCTCTATCGAATTGAGACTCGTGACAAGCATCTTTCTTTCTCAATAATCAAGTGGCTCAAATTTTAAAAGAAGCTATTTATATGATAATTTTAGTAATCGAACTAGCGTATGTTCCCGAGGGTGGTTTGTCGAAAAATTCGTTTAAAAAATATGTCTAATTAAATGGAGTGATTAATTATTATTAGATTAACCCAATATGATATGATTTAGCATAGTATGATCGGTGAATGTGAATGTCCTGAATTCACTGATTATAAAGGACTATTATATTTAATTTTGATATATCTATTCATATTAATCATTTTATTATGCGAAACTTATTATTGATTAAATTAATTAATTAATGATTTCTGTTAGATCCTCACTTGATCACTGAGAATCGAAATAGAATACGCGATTTCATAATACATTTTATGGACATATGGAAAATGAAAAAATCATTCATTTTTCTACGTTATGGACACGAACAAGTTGGTGAAGTTGAACAATATCGAACAAGAATCATCAACCAAAACATCAGCAAGACATAACTGTCAAAGCGCGTATCTTCTCATTTGCGCACATAAAATCGAAAATTAAAATCTTTTTCTTAGTTTGAAACTTCAATTCGAAAAACATTTCAAGCCTCAAATTGTCGTTTTTTTTGTTTATTAAACACTAATTGAGAACAATTTTAATAAAATTGATATCTTCAGTTTTGCTAGTGACTATCTGCAGTTTGTCGAGTTCACTAAATATTGAATTTCATTATTTGTATTGAATAAGCTGTAGTATATAGAGCGCGCTAAACTATTGTGTTCATTTATGAGATTCAGTAGAGAAAAATGCTGCTATCAATATCATGACCTATTTCTCTGAGGTTCATCATGCAATCTTTAAGGTATAGTCAAGATCTATTTACACTTTCATTCGAATATTTTTTATATCAACCGTTTTTTTGTCATTTTGACGATCTTTTCTCCTTTATTATGACTAAAAATTCGTCAAGAAAGAAACAGTAGAAATAGAACTAGAAAATACTCATCTTACCTGTGACGCAACTTCCTTTATTTTTATCCATTTTTTTTTGCCGTTGCTCGTATTTGTAATACTATATATGCACTATTGATGAGGGAATTAGATTATTATTGATCTTCATATCCACATATTTCTAGAAATCAACTGAGCTATGTGTTGATAATACATATTCGTCATTAATAAGCTATATGTTCTACGCATCCAATCGAATCATTTAAAGCAATGAACTCTATATTAAAAAAAAACATGTCACTAAGAAAATGAACTAATTTTCTTTACAAGAACTCTCTCTTCAGTTCTAAAAGATTCCGTCTTCTACAAATTGCAGCAATTATTTAAACTTCAGAAACTTTTTATCATAAAAAACTAACGCGATCTAGAAATTGCAGTAAACTTAGTTAAGTCAAAATAACTTTTTGAAATCCTTTTTTGAAACAAATTAATATTAGTCAACTTTAAATCAAACGAAAAATTTCTTTCGAACTTATTTCCAGCTTTTTTGTTTTGATAATTATGCATCATAATTCAGTCTCATTACATTATCATTTTTAATAAGAGTAAAAACGCAGAGGCGAGCATTCCAGCACAAGCATAGTGCAGATGTCTTTTTTTCTATGAACAATATATTCTATTCAAATTCATTAGATAAGAAAATGAAGCTCGGACAACCATTATACTTCTGGCTCTTTCTCCTATTTGATGTACTTGCTATTCTCAGTTCTGTTTTTGCAATTTACCACTTATTATCAGAAAGACGCTTACGACAGACAATTCAACATACTACAATACTTATACTTTTGTTCAATTTCATCTACCAATTGACTACTATTCCGTTGCATTTGCAATTTTTTAGCACCGGTACTGTACGTCCGGCTACTCCAGCGGTGTCTCGTATGGTGGTTTATTGACTATGCCTTCTTTTTTATCGATATTATCGTAATCCTGTGGACGTCGTTAGAACGACGCATTTTTATATCCGCTCATGGATAATAGTCACACAGCGAAATCGTCTACTTGCGCACTACCTTTCAATACTCACGATCATAGCATTTATGATGATCTTCTACGGTGTCGCAATTTTTGCACCTCCCTGCCAGAATTCGTTTGATTACACAGCAGATCTATGTGGCATGGCCGGATGCTATGAGTCAATAGCATCTTTTGCTATGATTGAACGAATTGGTTTTTCTATAGCACCTACGTTTCTGATTGCTACCGTCAATATCAGATTACTTGTACGTGTCGTGTGGCAAAAATATCGATTCCATCGAATCGTAGAATAGTGAAAACAGCGAAAATTAACCATGCATATTGTCTCTATATCTCTTTTATATTTATGTTTTGATTTCCCATTTTCAGTTATATATCTTGTTCGCCTACGTGGTGATCCTTCCTGGGGCCATGATATACTGTCAATACTCTTCTACTACGCATATGCGCTCATTTTGTTATTATTCATAGTATGTATCGGTTCCTTACCTGAACTATAGAACAAAGTAAAAAACTCGACTCACGAGGACGAGGACGACGACAAGTTGTGCCAACGGGGGTTCACTCATTAGTACGATATTTCTATCTTCGAACAGAACTTAGATGATCAAACAAACTAAAACTATTAAATTAGAGAAATCCAGTGCAATTGTATCTCTGTTGTATGTACGTGTAATAAAAACGCTTTATGTTGATTGTCGTGAATGTCTGCAGTAAATGTTTTTTTTATTGATAGACAACAACGCGTCATCAAAAGTACTACAAATCTTGTGGTGTGAGTGTGAGCAATGCAGTTCAGAACATCCATAACTCACGATCAATTTTCAGACCAATTATCCAATATAATCATGACTGTGCGGTGAATATTTTTCATTGAGTATAACTCCTATAGATCTTAACAGTGATGTATATTTATTTTTGAATCTGGATCACATGGTAGCAAATCCATGTCGCTATAATTCTGTGGTGATTGTTTCAATTCATCAATAGGCTTCAAAATATTTCCCGGTGTAAAAGTGTTGATACACCTAAACCTTGTAAAACTGTATCGTATATTAATATTAACAATAAGCGACCATTGACAACTTGTTTACGAAAATTTTCTGAATAATCCTGATTAATATCTTACAAGGATTTTACCCATCGACAAACACTATTGATGTCTCATTTCTCACATTCACTCAGCAACACTGGAAAGAGAAAAATAAATAGTTGTAAGCAGCTAAAAAAATAGGATTCACTAACATTTTACCATCGCCGTTTTCTAGTAATCTTAGCTTGACACATCCATTTAAATATCGACTTTGAAAGCAACATCCCCACCATCCTTTGACAAAGTTATATTACGTACAATAAAATCTTCCCGGGTGATATCTGTTTTTTTTAAATCCGGTTTGGTAACAGCAAGTATCCATCTATCGTGTTTTTTTCGTTTTCTAATGCCATGCAAAGCGATCATTGTTTATTTCTATTATCAACATCACCAATATTATTATTGTTGTTGTTTTGTTTTTACTACTCCACAGTTTTGTTGAGTAAACCATTAAAAAACGGGTCCTGTCTACTTTCATACTCTTTGATTATCAGATGGTAATTATTGGTAATTA